GTGACAATGTGTTGAGTGGTTAAGACACACGCCTTTTGCATTTAGGGGAACATATTGCTAAAACATAAATAACTTGCATAAAAATACAGTGGAAGAATTATTAGCCTTCCTGAATTATTAGAACCCAAGTATATTTCTTTCCTAGTTTCTGTTTAACGGAAAGATTTTATTTAACACATTTGTAGACATAATAGTTAATAACTCATTTCTTATAACTGATTTTATTTTTATCTTTGTCATGATGACGTAAACCATATTTTACTAGATATTTTTCAAGATTCAAGTATTCAGCTTGATGTGCAATTTAAAAGGCTTAAGTAGGTTAATTAGGTTAATTATGCAAGTAATAAGGCAAGTCATACAATGGTTAGTTCTGTAAAAAAAACAAAAAGAGGGCTAATAAAATTATTTTTTTATTATTAAAATTGCTTTTATTCTAGCCAAAATAAAACAAATAAGACTTTCTCTAGAAGAAAAAATATTATAGGAAATGCTGTAAAAAAAACTCAAAAAAAACTAAAAAAAGAAAACAAATATATACAGGAGGGTTAATAATAATAATTTGGACAACTGTATATCTTCAAATTGAAAACTTGATTTAGTGTGAAGATGAATAATGAAAACTTAATTAAACATGTCATTCAAGTTGTCAAAAATGAAAAAGAAACTTGCATTTACTCATCAAACCTGTGTTTGTGTTCAGAACTGAGTAGATCATGTTTAAATGAAATATAAAAGAAAAACTTTATGGAGAAATATTTCTATACAATATAATTTAATGTGATGCACCTTTTATTTATTTATTTATTTAATATCATTTAACAAAAATAATGGCTGTCACACATTCTCACCATCATTTACAAAAGACTGTTCGCTAAATGGTCTTTAATGCAACAATAGTTTAACTTTTAATTATTATTTTTACACCCAAGCTAAAAATTTGATTGCTCGCTATGGCATTAACAAATTTAAAAAAAAATGTTTTGTTGTTTGCATTTAGTTTTAACACTATTTATAATTATCATGTGTTACCTTTTATGTTCAACTTGTAATGCACTTTGAAGAAAGAAAGAAAGAAAGAAAGAAAGAAAGAAAAGAGTTCTAGTTTTCTATGGCAGTTCTAGAGTTTTGGGCTCTATTTTAACAATCTAAGCACAAAGTCTAAAATGGATGGTGGAAAAAAGCACTAATGGCATGTCCGAATCCATGTTTGCTATTTTAAGGACAGAAAAAAGCGGTCTGCGCGCTGGCACATGGTCTAAAAGGGCTGTGCTTTAAACATTTAAGCATTAAACTAAACAGGGTCTCATCTCCCATTCCCTTTAAGAGTCAGTTGCTATGCACCATGGCATATTCGATATTTACACTGTAAACTTTTAGACTTTTTTAGCAAAAAAACTGAATGCGTCACTAGAAAACAGTGATCTACGACACCGTTCCATTTGACTGTGGATTCAGTAAACAGAGGTGGAGGTGGCACTCCACTGAAGACATCCATTTCATGTTTAATTTCACAATTTCGTTGAAGTGCAAAGATTTGTTTCAAAATGATTTCTAAATTCAGTTCTAATTTCCAGCAAATTAATAAATGAACAGTAGAATCAAAGTGTGGTAGAAAAAAAAACATTGTTATATGAAAACACACAAATTTACAAAAAAATAAAAAATAAAAGCATATATAAATATGCATATAATATAATAAATACTACCACTAATAATAACAATAAACGTAAACTGTCATGAATAAACTGACTACAACAGAGGTGAAGGAGACATAGGAGGTAGCGGTTTTTATATTTATGTAGACAATAATATTTTTGTTACAACTTAATCCATAAATTTTTTGCATAATTAAAGATATTTGTGCATTGCTGTACATCCCTGTGTGTGTATTAAGCATTGTGTATGTGTGTTTTGGACTCACATATGTACACAATAACTAATGCGCTTTTTAAATAGCAAAAGTCCTGCGGCGTTAACTTTAGACCAGATTTTTGTTGGTCAATGGAGTGGTCTACTTTTTTTATGACTCAAAATAGCAATGTGCCAACAATGTGCGTTAACACACCTCTGTTTCAGACCAACACACCCATGAGTGCACAATGTGGTGCAAATGCATTTGCTATTTAAACAGTGTGGTGCAAAATGTGAAATTGATACATGCGCCGGTCTGAAAATAGCCCAAAAAAACACACACACTTGCGCTACACAGTATTGTGCCAGGTGTAAGATAAGGCCCTAATGTTTTAGTATTAGATTAATCATTTTTGAATAATTATTCAGTGAAAAACACTTACATGGTTGCTTGTCGCTATCTAATGGTGTAACTTTGTAATTTCTACAGACTTCATTTGAAGTGTCAAGTTGCTTTAAATCTGTAGCATATACAAGTAATATATACAGTAATATATATATATATATATATATATATATATATATATACACACACACACACACACACACACACACATATATATATAAAATGATGTTTATCAGAGAAAGGAAATTTTCACAGTATGTCTGATAATATTTTTTCTTTTGGAGAAAGTCTTATTTGTTAAATTTTGGATTATAATAAAAGCACTTTTATGTTTAGGAATGTGTTGAAGAAATCTTCTCTCTGTTAAACAGAAATTGGGGGGGAAATAAACGGGCTAATAATTCAGGAGGGGTAACAATTCTGACTTGAACTGTAAATCAGTGTTTATTATATATTATTAAAGTACTTTTATTTGATTCTTTGTGTCTCAGAACTTATTATACTGGTTATAAATACTAAACGTGCAAGATCTGTGAAGATTGTGATTAAGCAGGGGTTCCCAAACTTTTCAGCACGCAACCACCAAAATGACAATGCCAGTGACTCACGACCCCCAATATCCTCTAAGTTGGTTATAAATACAGAAACCTTGCATGCAATGGCACACACACACCAATAGACCCAAGTCTATTCTTCGTTTAACCTTTAATGGATGTCAGTGCTGTAAATGGGCTAGAAAGTTTAACCTGGTGTTATAAAATCAATCTGCTGCATCTGACGCTATTGCTGTGTCTTTAATATGAAGTAATTATCCCAGGGGTCGCATTCTAACAGAACTAGAAACTGTTAGCATATATATAGTATATAGTAACTACAAATGACATTTTTTTCTCTTCAGTAGGTTTGGATAAAATAGGGTCATACTTATGGTTTAATAAAAATAAATAGATTTTAACAACTCACCAGGCGATCTCTCTTTATTGTTGGGACCCCTCGGGGGGTCCCAACCCCCACTTTGAGAACCACTGATCTTAAGGATGCTCCATGACTAACTTTTGTGTTTCTAGTTTTCACTTCCAAACTTCTTTTATTAATTGTGCAGTAGGTGATTGTGTTCAGAAACAGTTTTTGTTGTGCTGGTTGAAAGTCTCTTCACATTCCAATAGTAATGATGAAAGTAAATGATCTAAACGTATTTATATGTATTTTTATATTCTGGATAAGGCATAAGAATAAAAAAGACTAAAAAATGTTAAACCAATTAAAATTTGTACACTAGTAAAAGCCCTAAAAACAAATGCTTAAACAAAACCTTTTAAAACCTGAATCTTTATTGGAGTTAGTTTTGCACACTGGAGGAAGGACGACACCATGGCTGAAGTATTTCTTTTAGACAGGTAATGTTCTGTTTTAAAACTATTTTAGTCCCGCAAAGCTTGTGTAGATTTTGTTGTTACGAACTGTTTATATGCACGAAAGTGTAGTTCAGCCACTGAAATCTTCCGGCGAATGATTGATGTGACTATTTTCAGCCTTTTACAGCATTGATAATGAAGATTTTTATTTAGTTTAACAACAGAACATAAGTAAACAGCGCTATTCCACCTAGCCAGCTTTACGGAGCGTATTATATTCAGATGGTTTCATTTTTGAACATTGACAACCTGTGACATGCTATATTGTTTACCATGCTGCTCTGAAAATTCTATCTCAAATAGCATGCAAGTATGGCTTAGTAATAAGCGTAATTCCTGCAGACTCCTGGCCAACCACTAAGCATACAGTAGTTGCTTTAGAACCAAGCATTTGAGAGAGTGACACTGATGAGAGAGTGATTGACAAGTTTAGCTTGCTAACCATATAACTGAAAATGTGCTAGATATAATACAGTTTTTCATTTAGAATTGTAGTATAAAGTTTTCTAACTGGCGAATAACATGATCTGGTGGGTCATCCTTAATGTTTGCATTCGCAATTTCAGGAGGCATGGCTTTAAACGACAGGGAGGGATTGTGTTTGAAAGATATTAAGCTTACCGGTTAGCATTTAATTAGATCACCTACTGCAACTTTAATGTTTTTGCTCTTAGGAATTTGTATGTAATTGAATATACAACAATAACTGATGTGTTATGAGATACCAGTACCACAGCTGTCTTATTGAATATTGTATAAAATATAAATAAAAAATTGTGAACAGTTCATGATTAAAGGGGGCTAAAAACGACACCTTTAGCCACTTTTAAAAAAGTAAAAGTGCCACTGAGACCCAAAATACGAAGTAATTGTCATTTTAAATCTTTATCCTTTGCTAACATCATTCAGATCAATGGGTTTTACCAAAAAATGTGATAAAATGTCTGTTAATCATGTATTACTGTACATATTTTAATATTTACATATGTGAAATCTTAAAAGTAGATGTTGCACGTAATGTTTCTTTGTTTATAAATGATAAATGTCACTTACACATTTAACTAAAAAAACAAAAGTCTCATCGTGTGCTTTATAAAGTCTATTTTTAAGACTGAAATAAACAATGCAATCATAAAGCGAGATTTAAAACTGCCAATTAACTAAAACAAAATGAACAATGCATTTAATATTACAGCAGCCATGCATAGCTGTTTAAACTTCATTGTCTGTGGTTTTTTGAAATGAAACTGCATAAACAAGATTGTACAGCAGAGAACTATTTATAGCGACTGACTTACTGTTGTTCTGTGGTGATCTGTGGGCAGGTTCAGGGGAGATGGCATTCAGGTGTAAGTTCTGCGGTCGAGGTGGACGGGACAGGCGGTCTCTGCGCTCCCTCAGGAGGGCTGTTGGAGGAGAGAAGCCTTATCAGTGCAAACAGTGTAGCAAGAGGTTCAGCCTGAAACACCAGCTGGACACACATCACCGCGTCCACACAGGTACGATCAGCCTTCAAACCCATCAACACCTTCTTTTAAGTTTCTAGAAATCCTCAAGATTTCCTTGAGTTTTGTTTGTTTGGATGTGTTCTCTACTGAAAAAAAGTTCTATATAGGTGGAGGAATGGATGGCACTTATTTAGATGTTAATCTCACTTTCTGAGAATTTGGACACTGAGTTTCAGAGTATCAAGATTAGATCTGTAATCTGAGGGTATGTATAGGTGACAATGATGTGCTTACAGAGGAAATGGTTTTCCTTTGAAGCTTTGAAAAGTTTTGCATGCATACAAATCTTTTTTTCCCTGTTCATATCCATAAAAATGACTAAAATGCTTTTAACTTTATTTGTATAGCGCTTTTACAATGTAGATTGTGTCAAAGCAGCTTCACATAAATGGTCATAGTAACTGGATCAGGGTAGTTCAGTTTTTAGTGTTTAGTTCAGTTTAGCTCAGTTCAGTGTGGTTTGAAATCATTACTGAGAGTCCAAACACTGAAGAGCAAATTCAACGATGAGTAGCTTTTCAGATCCTGAACCATGCAAGCCAGTGGTGACAGCGGTGAGGGAAAAAAAACTTCACCAATAGGAGAATGAAGAAAAAAACCTTGAGAGAACCAGACTCAGTTCGTCACGACCAATTTCTCTGCTGGCCAAAAGTCTTGTGCAGAGCTGCAGTCTCAGCAGTGGGCTGGAAGCTGGCCTCAGCGAAGACTCATCTGTCCCTGGAATCAGCCTCATGCTCTCCACTCCCTTATGACCAACAGCGCAGCAGCAGCAGCTCAGGATACGGCCTGGTCCCGGATATGGACACCTTGGGATCATCTCGTCGCTGGTCTTGGGTCCAATCAGTGACTTCGCATAATCTGAGGATCTAAAATGCTGTATATGGATGCCAGGCCAGGCCAGGCCATGTATTTTTTTTATTTAATGTCATGTCAGCAACCAAGGCTATTTTCATAGCAGGAACATTTCAATAATAAGTATACAATTTAAATGACAAGATTTTTAGTGTTAATACATGATAAAAATTCTAAAATCTTTTCTGGTGTCACCATGCTAAAAGTTTACTTCATAAAAAAAAAGTCTTATAGAATCATTAAAAGCAGGACAGTTCAGTAAAATGTGTTTTATAGTAAGGGGAATTGTGAAGTACAAACACTGAGTAGGGTTTTCACCTTGGAGCAAAAAACCATGGGTTATTCTTGTGTGCCCAATATGACATCAGGTAAAAAATACTTGATCAAATCTAGTCTTAAAATGTCTTAAAATTCTGTGTGAGATTTCAGGTTGTATTTCATATAATTTATTATTTTCCAATGCATCCCATTCCTTTTGCATTTGCATTTGTTTAAAATGTAAACATTGATAAATATAACTGGCAATAGTGTGATACACTACGTACATGACATCACTTTTTCCCACATAGTTGCTGTTTTGTAGTTTACAGAGAAATAATAACGTCATTTTGTAATATCACACTTAAAAAGTAAACATTTTAAACCCTCAAAACACCATAAACACTATGGTCTTAATGGGGTATATGCACAGCTAGTGTTTTTCAGCCAATGGTAAACTTCCAGTGAAAGGTTAATGTGACTATATTAAATTTTATAAGGTTCCTTTTACAGCATCATTGTTATAATGTAAATAAAATACAATCAGTTAAATAAACTTAAGCATTTATTTAGTTGTTCAAGCATAAAACGAGATGATAAACCATGTAAACTCTAGCGCAATCAGGATCAGCAGGCTAGCGTAAAAACTCCATTGAAAATACTGGGGTAAAATAAAGTTTCATATTTTAAAGAGATGGCCAGAAAGAAATAGTATTTAACACAGTGCTTCTTGTCTGGTCTGAGACCCACTTCTATCAGGCAGTGAAGATCACTGATTTTTAATAAACGTGGCGTTTTTGTAATGGAAACACAGTTCACTGGAAGTCATTGGGCTGCCTAGCTGAAATTTAAAAGTTAGTGTGCTGTGCATGTACCACATTAGTGTTATTAGAGATAAATTTATTACTATTATTTTAAATTTTTATTTACATTTTTTACATTTTACAAATTTTCTTGTAGATTTTTAAATGTTTTTTTTTTAATTTCAGCATCAACTTTAATAAATAAAGTTAAAACTTGTAAATAAAGTAAAGATTATTGGAGTACATTAACAAGAAAATGTTTTTCATGCAGTTTACCTTTTTTTTTCAACAATTCCCGTTTAAATGAATATGAATCCATGAAAATGACTAAAATGTTGTATTATGTATGCCCCTGGCCAATAGTTGACAACGCAGATATGTAATGAAACATATGCACGTGGTGTTTTCAGTCACTATTTTTTATATGGAGATGATAATGATTGCACTTGTCATTTTAATTTATTTAACATTTTTGTCAGTTTAGTTATTTTTATATATATCATCGCAGCTTCAATTTTAGAATATAAAGTTAAAAGGTTATTGAAACAACTTTCTACATCTGTTTTTGTTGTAGCTGCATGATTTTTATGGTTTAATTAAAAAAAAAATATCCTTTTTAAGGTTTTCATTTTTTGTTTAACAAAAATAACCCTGACGGTTTGATACTGATTCATATCTATTCTATGGTCTTTTTTCGTTTTTTTTTTATTTAAATTTTGTGATCTATTATACAACATTTATTGCATTTATGTAGTAAAGACTATATATTAAGGCTGCACAATATACTATTTTAGCATCGATATCGCAATGCAAACATTTGCAATTGTCAAATCGCGAGTATATGCAATGTTGAGCGTGGATTATAATTTATCATTTCACAATTTTTGAGGGTTTTAAAAGCCTCCAGGCCTAAGAAATTGTGCAATACTATTTTGACAAATTAATAATGATAAATTCTATGCACTACCCTACAGAATAATCCCAATCAATCTCAAATCATAAATTCTTTCCAAATAGTTATTCAACACATCTAGTGAAATTAGACTCATATTGCAATACATATCGCAGAATAAAAAAATATCGCAATATTAGATTTTTTTAATACAGTAGCACGCAGCCCTATAATATATATATATACTATTTATAAAATATAATTGAATTTTGAATATTTTGGAATTATTTCATTTAGTTTCCAAGAAAGAAAGATTATTGTTTTTTCCACATTATTTAAAGTTTTAAATGACTTCAGTTTTAGCCAACTAATCTCAAATTTGGTCTCTGATTAGAAATTTGAAACGTCATACTGAAATGAAACCTTCTGCTCGTCCCTTTTACAGGTGAAAAACCATTTGAGTGTCGCCTGTGTGGTCAGCGGTCACGTGACTATTCGGCAATGATCAAGCATCTGCGTACTCACAGCGGCGCCACCCCGTACCAATGCACCCTGTGCCTGGAGTTTTGTAGCAGCCTGGCAGCCATGCAGAAGCACCTGAAGAACCACCCGACGCAGGAATTTCCTCCAGACTGGAGCCTGAGCAGCACATATCTCTACAACTGTCACACTTAACACCACCTGCAGGATAAAACATGTACATATTAAAACATTGCATACTGTTTTGCTATTTTTAATACTTTTATAAATCTATTTTTCAAATACAATAATATATTTAATATACACAAGTTAAAAAAAAAGACTTATAAATCAATTTTAGTATTTTTTTTTATTTGGACCTTGGTAAATATTGGATGTACAACAATCGATTTTTGCAAATATTTTCAAACTTATTTTGGCTGATGCCAATATCTTTTCTGTTTGTGTGTTCATTTACAAGTTTAATTTACAGAGTCAGGTCTGAGATTTTTATTCCCCCATTAGTGTTAGATTTCTGATTTTATGGGCCCGATTAATGCTTTTCTCGTACATTGAGCTTACTTTTTTCTTCAGTTTCCATCAGTGTAATATAGTTTTTTTTTCAGCTGAAGTTTTAAAGCACTTCTGTGCATAAGGCCCATTAAGATAAAGTGGATTTCAAGTTGCCAATGTGTTTCTTTTTTTTCTGTGAAGCAATCATCACAATAGCATAAAAAAAAAAGTTTATTTATTGAGCTGGTTAAATCTGTACCATTTATCAATGCACTCACTATGTGATCTAATTACAGGATGTATTTAATCTTTTAATAAAAGCATTACAATTAAAACAGTAAAGTGATTGTGGGTCCTTTTTGTTACAGAGCAGCAGTTTCCAGTCTTGAAGGATCACTAATTTAATTCATGTATACGAAAGAATAGTATTTCTGATTCAGTTAACAAATTAATTGTTTCTACACTTAAAGACAACTAATGTTAAGGTGGTAAACTATACTCAATATGTTTGCCCTTCAAGGAATTTGTTTAGAAAAACAATTATAAATACAGGGTTCATACACGTTTTACTACAAAAATTCCAGGACTTTTCTAGGAATTTCAAGTCAATTTTCATGACCTAATGTTTCATGTAATGTCTACGTATATGTGGTAAATCATAAGAAAAAAATGAACAATTAAACGTATAACAGGATATCATAAAACAGCAATTTCTTTAGATTTAATTAATTTTTATATCCATGTAAAATAGATGATGTTTACACAGCACTAATAATGCGAGACCATGTTTTTGGCCAAAAAAAGAAATGTAAAAACAACTAACATCCATTCCAGTATACAGATATTTTTCAAACTAATTTTAGATAATCTTAATAGTTGGTTAATATGATAACAGGAGGTAAAACTATTTCTATTGTAAAGCTGCGATCACACTGCACTTTTTGCTCCATAGACTTCCATTCTTAGGTATGTGAATGCAACAGACCAGAAACGCAAGCACGTGTTTAGCATTTTACTGCATTTGAAAGTTCAAGCTTGGTGAATTTTTACCAGCAAAATCGCATCACGTGATTGTGCGAGACCAGTAGAAGATCATTTAAAATAAGAAATTTAAAATATGGAGCAATCGCTAACTTTTATAAGGTCTAATACTCATATTGTTTAATACCAGTTTTCGCAGCACGTACGACAGAAGTTTACACGCACAAGCTCTAGTGTGACCGCAGCTTAAGTCACTTTGGACAGAAATGTCTGCTAAATGACTAAATGTAAATGTAATTTCTATGACTTTTCCAAAACCTTGTGGGTTTTTCTGTTTTTCTAAAACTTTTCCAGGCCTGAAAAATGCCATGTCAAAATTTTCCAGGTTTTCCATGACCGTATGACCCCTGTAAATATATCAGTTAAAAGCATTTTTTCTATTTCTTCACATGAATTATGATATACGGTTTTATTAAAAGCGTCTATGAATGAAGTAAGTAAAGTAACAAAGCTGCACAACAAAACTTCGGTATTCTCTAAAACAGGTAGAATCAATGTTGCTTCAGGTTAAGTCCTTTTTTAAGCTGTTTTTGCTACTGAAAAAACAGCTTAAACCAGCCTAGGATAGTTGGCTAGTCTTAGCTGGTCCACCAGCCTGGTTTTAGAGGAGTTTTGGTTATTTCCAGCCTGGTTTCCAGCCATTTGCAGTCTGGTCTTAGCTGGTCAGGCTGGGAGCCCAGCCATAACCAGCTATCTCCAGCTTAAACCAGGCTGGTTTTAGCTGGTCATTTTCCGGCCTGACCAGCAAAGACCAGCCTGGAAATGGCCAAAACCCCTCTAAAACCAGGCTGGCCTGGTCAACCAGCTAAAATTAGCCAACCAGTCTAGGCTGGTTTAAGCTGGATTTTTCAGCAGGGTTGCTAAATAATATTTAGTAAATATGGAGCCTCCAAATATAAGCATAATTATGTTTATTCTCGCTAACATTTGGATATTCAAATCAAATAAAACAGTACGTTACAAACTGGCTATGTTTACCTTAAAAATCCATGGCTTAGTCTGTCATCTGCTTCATCTTTCTCCAAATGAAAACATTTTTCCCAGTGTGTTTCGTATTTGTTTTCATTGTTTTGTTGGCCGTTAACGTTAGATGCCAAACTAGCAAAACAACGTGCAGCAAAGGGTAAAATTGTTTTCTCAAAACCGTGCATTTACAGTTAATAAAATTAATATATTAGGAAAAACTTTAAGTTCCAACGGTCACTGTAGCAAAAGGCGGATTTTTTAAATTTCCATCAATATGATTTAAGTTAGCTTTTCAGTCGAGGATGGTGCCAGGTTTATTGATCCTTATAGTTAAACTAAAGACATTAGGATACACTTAAATGGACTTTGGTTAAACTGTAAGTCTATACCACCGAAGATTATGGCGAATATAGCTAACTCGTGATTTGAGTGATTTAAATTTTCAAGTACAACTGGCATTCAGGAAGTAGAAGAATATTTATATGATATCAAAGTCCCTACAGTCCACATAAACCGGAAGCTGCGACCGTATGTTTCAAATTGTGAAGCAGTTCCTACTAGATATTAGCTGTCAATATAAATTACAGAAAATGCTTTGGAGCATTTTTTTCCGTGTAGAAATAGATTTATTGCGTTTGTATAGGAGGAGGATACAACGATTTTACCTGTCAGACACAAATGCACTTAATTGAGCTAGTGACGTCACAGTGATGGCTCGGTGTGCCCGTATGCAGCCTCACCCAAAATTTCTAGAAAAATAAATTGCTTAAAACAATCATTTCAACTTACGTACATAGGTTACATATGCATAGGCCTGTCAAGGAAATTAATGGATGAATTAATTGATTTGGTCTGTGTTCAATTCTTCGTTAAAATAAATAAATAAATCAATCAATAAATTAATAAATAAATGTTTTTAAGTTCCAATGTAAAATATAGACAAGGAGAACGTGATGCTGATCAGTGTAACATAACTCATAAAGAACTAAAGCGAGTCAGATTCGTTGACTGAAACTCGCTCCTCCTGGATCTCATGTATAGTGAAAGTACAGGCTCCAGATGGTTTCACGATGTCGTTTTCTTGATCGTCGCCACCCATTTTCCAGTTCACGCAGTCTTTCAGAGAGTCCTGGAGCTCCAGCAGGTGATGCGTGTCCTGAGCGCTGCACGGCGGCAGCGGCACTGGATATGTGCTGTGGAAGCGCCGCAGGTCCACCCGGAACGAGCCCTTCTCCAAAGTCATGCACGGCTCAAAACGGGCACCCCACTCGATCTCCGTCTCGATGTAGGACGTCTTGGCCTGGCACATCATTCCTGACAAAACAAAAGTTTTCAAACGATTTTTTTTTTACTTTATGCATAACGTTAGCCTAGCCTGTTAATTAACATCTTCCGTATTTTGTGATTCACAAGTGTTTGGCTGTTGTGAATTGCATTTTGGGACCTTGATCTCTGCTCTGGCGACTTTTGATGTTGAAAATTCAACTCTAGTTTAACAAAGTGACCCTTATTGACATTTTACTTGTTTGACATAATATAATGTATAAGAAATAATACACAGAGAAATAAATATACAATGTCATATGTAATATACAACACCAACTCAGACTTTATAGCTTTCAACCAGATGCCCAAACTGGGGCCCAAGTTAACCTTTAATTTAGCCCGCAAACCAAGAGATGGACAAAGGATATTGAAGTTTGGGACAAATCCCTTAAACAGATTGTCATTTCTAATTTTACAAAACCTTTGTTTGTTTGTTTAATTGCTGAGCAACAAAAAAAAGCAAAACTGAAATTAAATGTTACAATTAAATGTGAATTAATCAAATTTTTAAAGGGTCATGAAACCCAAAACAAGTTTTCTTTTATGATGACCAATATATAAATCCATTGTGTTATGAATGACATTGTTTATGGTTTTATTGTAAGAAGCACATTATAAAATGTAAAATACATATACAATTATAGATACGATTAAAGTATTTTTTCTACATATCTTTTAATATTATTAAATAATAGAGTTTGGTATATTTAGCTTTGACCCACCACCGTCAGCCAAGTTTGGATTTTGGCCCTTCATAAGAAAAGGTTTGGGCACACCTGCTTGAAATTATTCATCATTCATTTTCTTGTTGGCTTAGTCCCTTTATTAATCCGGGGTCGCCACAGCAGAATGAACTGCCAACATATCCAGCAAGTTATTACGCAGCGGATGCCCTTCCAGCCACAACCCATCTCTGAGAAACACCCTTACACACTAATTCACAGACACACTCATACACTACGAACAATTTAGCCAACCCAATTCACCTGTACCACATGTCTTTGGACTGTGGGGGAAAGCGGAGCACCCGGAGGAAACCCCCGCGAATGCAGAGAGAACATGCAAACTCGACACAGAAACATCAACTAAGCCAAGGCTCTAACCAGCGACCTTCTGTGAAGCGACAGCACTACCTACTGCACTAAACAGAGTTGAAAAAAATATTAAGGTCCCATAATGCAATTCAAAAGCATATATAAAAAACATGAATCTCAATACACAGAAAATTAATTAAATTTAAAATTAATTTAGAGTTTTTTTTACAGTGTAAGCAGCCCCAGGGCCCCTATTGTCATATTTTTATGGTGAGGGTAGCTAAAAAATACAATTATAATGTAATTATTACATTCAAGAAAATTTGTCCCCCCATTCCCAATCATAGAGTAACCCAGACAGATCAAGATTTAGTTTTTAAAACTAAACATTATTTATTATTTTGAGTTGGTTTGTTTTTTCATTTTTTTTTTTTGTTATTCTAAGAAAAATAAAAAAAATATCACATAGAAAAGAAGATAAATAAATAAACAAACAAACAATAAATAAATACAAAGGGTGTATATTAGGACTTTTGTCACCCATTGCTGCAATTGCTTAGAGCTCCCAAATCACCAAATCCACACATGCCTGGAACACAAGATGGCGCTATCTTTAAAAAAATGATATTGGCCTTACATTGGAAGGAAGGTGAGTAGTTTTAATTAAATACTTAAATTAAATTAAATACTTAATTTTACCAAATAAAAATGACTACAATCCTCACCACATGTCTTTTAAAAAAATAAAACTGATTAGACTTTCATTGCTGAGATCATTGTTGTAGTTTTCAGTAGCCTACCTTAAATAAAGTTGCAATAAATACAAATAAAACATTATTAAATATAATCTTAAATTAACTGATATAAAAAAATTGGCTGAAAATTTTACATTTAGTTGGCAGCTGAATTAAGTAACTATAAGTACTAAATTAATTTAAGTCATTTTAGAAATGTTGTTTGCATTTTATAATAAGTAGCCTATCCATTTACAAATATTATTCAATATTCTCACAGCAAGAAGGTCGCTGGTTCGAGCTTTGGCTGGGTCAGTGGGCGTTTCTGTGTGGAGTTTACATGTTCTCCCTGTGTTCGCGTGGGTTTCCACCGGGTGCTCCAGTTTCCCCTTCAGTCAAAAGACATGTGGTACAGGTGAATTGGGTAGGCTAAAATGTCCGTAGTGTATGAGTGTGAATAAGTGTGTGTGGATATTTCCCAGAGATGGGTTGCGGCTGGTAGGGCATCCGCTGCGTAAAAACATGCTGGATAAGTTGGCGGTTCATTCCGCTGTGGCGACCCCGGATTAATAAAGGGACTAAGCCGAAAAGAAAATGAATGAATGAATAATTAAGATTAATAAATGCTATTTATTAATCTTTTTGTTAGTTTATAGTACATTAAGCAAAGCGATTTGAACCAACGTATTTAACAGATTAATGAATACTTTACAAATATTGCTCTTAGTTAACATTAGGTAATGCATTAATAAACAATATCTTATTTTAGTGTTACCAAGCATACATATCACCTTAGCTATCTTTATTTATTCACATATTTATTATTATTTTTATTCATTTATTTTCAATTCGGCTTAGTACCCTTATTAATCTGGGGCCAGCACAGCGGACTAAACCGCCTACTTATCCAGCATATGTTTTACGCAGCAAATGCCCTTCCAGCTGCAACACATCACTGGGAAACATCCATACACACTAATTCACACAAACACTACAGACAATTTGGCGTACCCAATTTACTTGGACTTGTGGGGAAAACAAGGCACTCGGAGGAAACCCACGCCAACACGGGGAAAACATGCAAAACTCCACACAGAAACGCCAACGGTCAGCCATGGCTAGAACCAGCGACCTTCTTGCAGTGAGGCGATCATGCTACTCACTGCGCCACCGTGACACCTATTATCATTGTTCAATTCATCCAAATTATTTTATCTTCCCTTTTACTAAGCTCCACAGGCTTAGTAAAACATATAATAATAATAATAATGTTAATAATAATAATACTTTTTAATGTGACAAAATGCTTATCTATATTAGTTTTTTGCTTAGTTTTTTAAATGTTATATTGCATTGTATTTGTACTGGCAAGATATCTGGGTTACTGGGTCAACAGACAAAAGAATACCACATGAATATAAACACACATGCAGCTTCCACTGTGCCCTCCAAGAAGGCAATGATCTCAAATTGTTGCTTTATATATATATATATATATATATATATATATATATATATATATATATATATATATATATATATATATATATATATATATATATATATATATATTTACACAGTGCTCAACTCAACATATACACCCCTCACAAATCTTTTGAATTCATGTTTTTAATAGAAAGCTATACAATTATATTTGTGCATTTACATTAAATTAGTCAGTACTGAAGCCAAATCTGGAGCCTAATTAACAAAATAACTTAAGATAACAGTCCAAAAACTAGTACACCCAAACTTATGTTATAGAAAAATATTAAATACAAATTTAAAAAGGAGGAGAAATCAAGAGAAGCAAAAAATGGAATAATTTAGTTGAAATTTTGTAGTTTGTAATTAACTTTGGAGATATTTTGATTGAATTTAATTGTATTATCTTTAGACTTCTTAAGAGGTTTAGTCGCTAAAATATTATTTTAATAAATATATCTGTTTAATAAATATTTTTTGTTCAAATTCACCAAAATACATTGCCTATATTCACTGAAAAATGGACAAAAATATTCATTTTAAAAATGGGCTGTACTCAATTATGCTGAGCACTGTATGTATTACTACTATTATTATTACTTGTTTTGTACTTTCAATGTTCTATTGCATCGCAATTGTACTAGCAAGATATCTGGGTTACTGGGTCAACAGACACATGCAGATAATGCCACCTGTAGCTTCCACTATGCCCTCCAAGATGACAATAATTTCAAACTGTTGCTTCCGCAGCTTCTCTGGCCCGAGCTCCCAGAAAGGACTGCTGGAATCAATGATGTGTTGAATCACTTGCGGCTCCACTAGAAACAGTCGGTCAGAGCCGCTCTCATAGCCCAGGTCGATCTCCGATTGCTCCAGTGGGAGAAATTCCCCTTCCGATGTCTGCCGAGACTTGATGAGTTTAGCACGTACTTTGGCGTCAACCATGTGACTCTCACGCAAGTCTCCAAGACGAAACATAAGGCAGAGACGGTCATCCCGATTGGCCACAACACAAGTCCGACTAAAAAGAAGTGTTTCGGCTCGCTTCTTAGGACGTGAGATTTTAACAAACATGCAGCCCACCATTAGAGCGTCAATCATGGATCCCACAATACATTGTGCCATGACTAAAAACACACCTTCATAGCAGCGTGGTGAGACTGTACGAGCGCCATAACCAATAGTCCTCTGTGTTTCCACTGAAAAGAGCAACGCTGAAACAAATCCATCTATATTTTGGAAGCAAACATCAGTGTCCGCAGGATGTTCAAGATCTCCACGCAGAAAAGCATTTAGCGAATAAAGCCCTGCGAATATAAACCAAGTGACCGTGTAGCACATCATGAATACAAACAGAAACCATCTATACTGGAGGTCCACAAACGAAGTGAAGATGTCTGCCAGAAATCGCTCCTTTTCTGCCATGTGTGCCAAGTCTACTCGGCATTTCCCATCTTTTGAGACGTAGCGACGCTGCTGGCGAATCTCTGGTGGGCATGTGGGAGTTTGCACGCTCTCGTTTTCAATTAGCTTATTGCGGGCTTTAGCATTGCACTCCACTTCCCGTACAGGAGTGCAGTGAGCACTGCGGGATGGGGTGCTGTACAGAGGGCTAGCGCTTGGACTGGTCATATTGGGAACGCTAAGAGCATGTCGGCAACATGGACGAACGTTCGGATCACGTAAAGAGCAACGCCTCATCATTGCCAGCTCGGCCTCGGTGGGGGCGCAGATACTAGTTCTCTGTCCACGCAAGTACCCACGCTGTGGGCTGTATGGCAGATCTGTGGTGCTCTTGTGGCGGCGTATGGACACATAGGGGTTGGAGGCCTCACTCTGCATGATGTCCGGCAGAGGAAGGGAGTAGTCACCTGTTGAATTTGATTGATTGCCACTTTGAGGGAGAATCTGGAAAATAGTACGGAGATGACATGAATGTTAGCATTGCAATTTTACTCCAAAGTAAATCTCATGCCTTATTTATCAACATGTTCTTCCAAACCTATGCAATTTTCCTTAAAGACACAGTATGTAATTTTCGCCACTAGAAAGCACATGTTTAGAACAAACAAAGGCATAACCAGGGGCGGACTGGGAAAGCATTTTCCACCGGGCCAATGTTACAGGTAGTCAGTGTTACACAGTGTAATAGCATACATTGACCTGCATCCGGTGGGGACGCTGTCCTGCGGGATGCTAGGCACTTGTTGCGGGAGACTACCATGCAATAAAGGCAGTTCTAGTTCAGCTCATGTCTGTTTTATTGTATAGAACATGAACATGGTGTCAGAAGTGCACTAAATTCTGAATGTCCATGAACAGCATTGCAGCACCCGAGGGCATGCGGATGCCCGGGGATATATCAAAGAATTGGGACATTTTCAGAGCGGAATACAAGGACTATGAGCTAGCAACTGGAATAATTGAGAAACCCAGCGAGGTGAGAGCAGCAGCACTACGCCACCTTTTGGGCAACGAATGTCGGCACGTCTGCAATCATAATATCGTGTTGACTGAGGAACAAGCTAAAGATCCGTAGGCCATACTCGATGCCCTGGGGGCCTACTTCAAGCCTGCAAAAAACGTGATCTACGAGAGATACATGTTCGGGTGCTGCAAACAAGAAGTGGATGAGCCTATTGACAGTTGTCTCACAAAGCTGCGGGAGCGAGCATCAACCTGCGACAGGTCACATCCGATGCAATCTACAAATTAAAGAGCGGGGGATTTGGGACATTGGGGTTGTTGTGCGTGGCAGGCTGCCAGGCCACATTCGATGCGATATAGAAAGTAAAGTTGAGGGGGGGGGGGGGGGGTCAGGCCAGACTAGCAGTGGCAGACCAGATTGACCGTCAGGCCAACGGGAAATGTCCCGGAGCTCCCTATGGCCAGTCCGTCACTGTGCATAGCCTTATGGCACTGTAATTGTTAAATGTGAGTTGTGGTCTTCATTGCATCCTACATCATAACCTATTATGGTAGTATGAACAGAGTAAGGCTGAAAGACGTCTAAGCAAAATGAGTGCTAAAGCAATTTCTGATGAGAGACAAAAGCAGCAGAGATTTTATTATGCCACTGCTTACAGTTCATCTGCTAGTGATTACATGGAGAAGAAGCAGCAGTTTTATTACACCAAGTACATATTAAAGTTCTTTTATAGTGTGTAGACTTGGCATGGGACGATAACCCTTTTCAAGGTATACCACGGTTTGGAAAGGTTTTAAAACTGTCAAAATCTTCTGCTATACCGTGCCTAAGGTACAGGTACATTTACGTGTTTTACTTCTTTACTTTACTTAACGATTTTACTTTTTATTTAGGACAACAGTATCTCTAAAGATGCCATTTTAAATTGTAAATAAATCTGTGTTTTTGGAACTAATGAAGACAGCAGAAGTCAGTAATTCATGTGAATCAATTAGCTGGACATGTTTACTGCTGCTCTCAAAATAAAATATATTGTGTTCAAAGGGGAAAAAGGTTTTGTTTTTTTACCCAGACTTTTAAAAGTAATATATTTTAGAGCAGTGATCACAATGCAGTGATATTTTTATTTAACGTTATCATCCCGTCAGAAGCTTATACTGCCCCATGCCTAGTGTAGACTAATAAAATTAACATATTAAAGCGTATTTGGTGTTTCCCTGTTTTGAAACAAAACCAGAAATGAGAGTGTCTGACATCATTAGCATGGCCATACAGAAGGACATGGTCCATGTTACAAGTTAAAATGGCTTATTTTTCTGGATTTGACAAAGACTTCAACATTCCTTTTGGGTGGAGCTCTCAGAGTATTGTTTCTGCTCTGAAATTGTCCATTCAGCAAACTTCCTTCATTTTGTAAGCAGCGCTCATCTTTCAACAATCCAATCAGTCCCACAATAACAAAATCCTGCACTGCCCTACATTTGTTTCTAATTTCAGGACCATTTCAAGTAGATGTACATCATGATAGCACATAACAGAACAATTTTAAAGAGTGACCAAACCCTAAAACACATTTTTGAGATGTTGCTAAAACATTATTAGGACACAAATATTTCACTAACAAGTGAAAATGGGCTGTTTTGCATTATTTAGAGTAAATTTGTTTTCCTGGTTTAAAAGGAAATTTTGAAGCAATGTCTCAACGATGAGGTCATTGCATAAGTTCCAGTGTGGTGATTGCCCGTCAGTTGCGGACACTACAAAGTGACGTAATTGAGTTTAAAGCATGTCTGTGCAATAATTCATGAGAAAGAATTGGTTCGGTACATTGACCGCATTTCTGCTGCTGCTGCACTGATCCGCCTATCAATCTCACGTTCCATCCTTCCCTCACTCATGAACAAAAACCCAAGATCTCCTCCACCTTGGGTAAAGCTCTCGGTTTACTAGTCAATCTACGATCCTACTCTCACCTATGGACATGAGCTTTGGGTCATGACCGAAAGGACAAGATCTCAGATAAAAGTGGCCAAAATAAGTTTCTTACGCAGGGTGCTAGGCTGTACCCTTATAGATGAGTTGAGGAGCTGTGTCAGCCAGGAGGATCTCAGAGTAGAGCCGCTGCTCCTCCACATTAAGAGAAGTCTGCTGAGGTGGCTCGGGCATCTGTTTTGGATGCCTCCTGGACACCTACCAAGGGAAACTGACTGACCGACCGGGAGGTGACCTCGGGGAAGACTCAGGACATGCTGGAGGGACTATGTATCTCAGCTACATGGAAACGACCTCGGAATCCCCCCGGAGAAGCTGAAGGAAGTGTCTCGAGAGAGAGGGCAGTCTGGGGTTCACTCCCAAAACTGTCCCTTTGACCTGGCCCCGGATAAGCAAAAGAAAATTAATGAGCGAAAGAATGAATGAATGATTGAGTGAATGAATGAATGAGTTGGTTTGAACCAATCAGTGCGCTCTATTGTGAATGAGATGCAACTTCATCTATAGGCATGAGAATGTTTTGTTGCCTCCTTTTGGTTGTTACAGTGTTCAGAGACGCACCTTCCAAGATGTGTTGCTAACCGCAATTAAACCTGATAGAATAGGAAAAGTAATTGTTCAGAAGCACAGTTTCATGTGGGTGCAAGCAGATAGCTTACTGTGGTCTGCTAACTATATAGCGCTCTCAGATCCAATGTAAATGCTGTTCTTCGAATCATTCTCCTTGCGTCTGTGTTTGTGTTGCCGGTGTGCCGGTTTTTTATGCATGTAATGAAACTCCCCTTTTGATGCAAACCCTTCTCTTCTTTGCCACTCCCACCTAAACAAAGCTAGTCTCACCCACTTTCCTGGCTAGAGGTGTGAAAACAACGTGCTGAGACGAGGGTTTCATTACCCTTTAACTTCCGTTTCATGGCAAGTTTACCCTTCTGAGCACTGGTAAAAATATTTTTGTCCTTCCTTTGAAAATGTGTTCTCTCAAAACACAAAAATAAGAATGAAGTGGTTTAATACGAGACTTCTGAAGAGAAATGACAGCCATACAGTATTAGGGTTTTATTTATCTACAAACATTAAAAGCTTCTCGACACATTAAAAGAAGCCTCATTAGATCTTGCAGAGGCTCAAACATGCTGATATGACAATGCAAGACAAATCTTCATCGGTTCTTGTGCTTCAAGAAAGCATGTTTGAGTTTGCACAATCAGAAAAGTTATATTATTAGTTGACATTTCTCTTTTTGTGTGAACAAGCATTCAGAGGAGGAACAGAAACCTTTCAGATTTGATTAAATCTTTTTGTTTTGCAAATCAATATTTTTTTTTAAATGTAGAAAGACTTATTATTTTGGTGCTAATAAACTATTTAAACATTAATAATCAAAACCACCTATGGAATAAATTAAACACCTTTCAATGGAGTTAACTTGTTAACAAAGGTTCCACAGCAGGACCACACCTCTCTTTGCTTCCTCAACCACTTACCTTCTCCCTAAAACGTATTTAAGGCCAACCAGCCTTTAGCACTGTTCTTCTCATTCTCTAGATCCCACCCTCCCTCCCTCCTTCAGGGGGTCCAATCATTCATTCATTCATTCAATCAATCATTTTCTTTTCGGGCTTAGTCCCTATATTTATCTGGTATCACCACAGTGGAATGAACCACCAACTTACCCAGCACATGCCCACAGCGAATGCCCTTGCAGCTGCAACCCATCACTGGGAAACACTTATACACTCTCATTCACACACATACACTACGGCCAAAATGGCTTCCCCAATTCACCTATAACACAAGTCTTTGGACTTGTGGGGGAATCCGTAGCACCAGCAGGAAACCCACTTGAACACAGGGAGAACATGCAAACTCCACAGAGAAATGCCAACTGACTCAGCCAAGGCTCGAACCAGTGACCTTCTTGCTGTAAGACGACAACACCGGGGGTCCAATCACTCTACCAAAATGATCAACCTATCAACCTATCTGCCTGTTTACTATTTATCCTTCTACTTCCCCTTCATCCGCCTGTTCCCATACCGTCCCTTTCATCCCTGCATCCATAAAATAAAGTCTAGCTCAAAGTGTGGCATGGTCTATGCTGGTGAATCATTTTACTGGTGTTTTGGAGGATTCGGTTTAGTCAAACAGCCAAAACATACTGTTACATATCTGAACGCGAAGAGTTGAAGATTTTTAAACCATGATATACCCATTGGGGTGTATTATTTTTAGGGGTTTAATCTGGCCATATTTCCAAATTTAAAGTTGCAAAATATACTATAAGTGTGGCTTATTTCTCAAAGATCGCCACAATGGAATGAACTGCCAACTATTCCAGCACGTTTTACGAAGCGGATGCCCTTCCTGTCGCAACCCAGTACTGGGAAACACCTATACACACTCATTCACACACACTCATACACTAAAGCCAAATTAGCTTTTTCAATTCACCTATGCACTGTAAAACCCAAAAAGTTC